GTGCCTTAAGAATCTGCATTTTATAGGAACGTTACCTTATTCTGACAATACAATAAAGATTGACAATCATTTGTGTAATAAATAAATCAATTACATCATAGTGAAAGTCAACATATTTTTCTATGTAAAAATGCATCATGACTTTCCCAGTGACACAATATATATGGTATTTCTATAATCATAAAAAAAAATCTGTATAGACATTTTCTCATAGGGCCTATTTGTAAATTTGAACATACTTTTTACAATAGTATTCATTTGATCTGGATCATACAAATTTTCTTCTTGGTCCATCAGGTGTCATAGTGATTAAAGTGCTGGACTCCCATACGGCAGACTTTGGTTTGAGTCTTTGACCTGGCAGCTTGAAAATCACGCTGAGTATGTGTGAGTGCATGCCTAAAATCCTGAAAAGAGAAAGAAGGAGAAAGGATTACAGAATGGCCATCCCCTCTATGGGGTTATTTCTCACTGCCTCTCTCTGAATCTCTCTGTCTCTCTCCTCTCTGGTGAGTGCAGGAGTCCTATGATATCCACCCTCTCCCCACCAAAAACAGAAAAGAAAGACAGAAAGAGAAAGAAAGAAAGAAAGAAAGAAAGAAAGAAAGAAAGAGAAAGAAAGAAAAAAGAAAGAGAAGAAAGAAAATATTTTATTTTTTCTTTGCCTTTATAGTCTACAATCATTTTAGGCCAGCAGGTGGTATACAGTTAAGGCACCTATAATCCACATGGTTGACTATGTGGTTCGAGTACCAAATTCAAGGGCTTGAAAATTATGCCAGGTGCATGTGCATTTGTGCTCAAAGACCTGAGAAGAGAATGGTAAAGGGATCATGGCATGGCCATCCCTCCAGGGAGTGATTTCTCACTTTCCCACTCTCTCTGTCTGTCTTTGTCTCCTCTGATAAGTGCTTGTATCCTGTATCATTTATACATAAATAAATAAATTATAAAATCATTTATATTGTTATAATTATTTTTGAGTTGAAGTCACCCTTGACTCAGAGATTCCTCATAGGACTTTTCAGCTCTGTATTTCTGAGATTCTATTCTATTTCTATTCTAATTAATTGGTTTAATTTAAAAGTTATCAAGCACAAAACACAGTAACAGCTTTATTAATGGAAGAGGCATCACTGAACCCAGATACACAAATATGCGTGGAATAAGGAATAGGACCACAGTGATGTGAGAAACATGTGAAGAGGTCTTTACACCTTCCCTCCAAACTGTGAGATTTTTAAACAATATAAGAATATCACAAAGAAAACCTTCAAGAGAAGGATGTTTAACAATGAAGTGAATCTATTATTGTCAGCAACAAATAGAACAAGTGTACAGGTGTCCCTGCAGACAGAGTTCAACAAAGGGTACAACTCACATGTGAATAGACACCAATCAGAATGCGAAGAAGATCTGAATGGTCAAGTGGGCCAATACTCCACCCAGTCTCAACCACTCAAACAAGAGGTCATATATCAGTTATTCATGATGTTTCATAATACAGGTGCTCCTGGATGATCACAGAATGATCGCATGTAATCACTTATGCAGAACAATCTCAGCAGCACCAGATGATGCTAAGCAAAGACTTGAGTCATGCAATCATGAAAGAGTTGGTTTTTCATACAGGAAGAGTGTCAATTAGCACTTTGGAGATCATATGTGAAGAATAAACATTATCTATAAAAAATAAGTAACACAGGAAAGAAATATAAACACTTCCAAGGATGTGAAAAAACTTGTAAATGAGAACACCTGTTGTATTTGTAGATTGCACTTCTCAAAGCTCCACATATGTAAATTCTTAAATTAGTGTTCCAAAATTGGATTTTATTTAAGTAATAATAGAGCTTTGTTTTATTTAATTGTTTTTAGTGAGAGATTTTTGCTATAGGACATTCGCATTTACTGGAGAGACAGAAACAGAGAGACAGAAAGTAAGAAATCACCCTCCATTCTCCTTTCAGAGTTTTGGCACCTACACACACACATGCCCAATGTGAGGTTTAAGCCACTGGGTCTGGGACTCAAACCACAGTCGGCTACATGGGACTCCAGAGACATAACCATTAGGCCATATGCTGGTCCCAAGCTTTGTTTTCTGATAGAATATTTTAATCTATTTTAGCTTAATTCATATTTATTTTAATTTTAACATAATTTTGGAACGTGATCAAGAATAGTTATAACTCTTAAAAACAGCAGTTATAAGGGATTTCTAGGCTTATCAGATTAAAATGTATTATTTATCAAATATAATTATATTGTACGTTGGTTGAAAAATAAAAAAAAAAAGATCAGTGGAACAGAATGCAGTCCTTATTTAGATCCAAATGCATATGAAATTTAGAATGCATTCAAGTTGGGATTTCAAATAAATGCTGAAAATAGAATTATGCAACTATTTTTAAAAATAATTGTTTTATTTCATTTTATTTATTCCTTAATTTATTTTAATTTGACTAGAGACAAGCAGAGAGAGAGAGAAAGTCACTAGGTCTGGGACTTGAACCATGATCAACCATGACCAGCACCTTAACCACCACGCCACCTGCTGGTCCTGAATTATGCAGCTATTAAAAAAATAATAGTAAATTTAAGGAACCGGTAGATGGTAAATGGTTACATCACTAGACTCCCACATGATCTACTGCTGTTCAAGTCCCGAACCTGGAAGCTACAAACACAACAAGCACCTGTGCATGTGTGCCCAAAATCCTGAGCAAGACTAGAGGTGAAAGGATTGTGGTGTTGCCGTTCCCCTGGTTGTGATTTCTTGCTTTCTGTTTCTACATCTCTCTCTGTCTCCCTGGCAAGTACATGCACCGTGAAAAAAAGAAAACAACAACCCTAAAGTTTAGAGAAACAATGTAATTTCTGCTCAACTCCTATATCAAAATCAATGTCACATGAATTACAATTTTATTTATTTATCTATGCCATGAGGGATCAAGAGAGAGACAAAGATCCCCAACAGAGTCTTCACACTGCCATCCATCTCCAGCCTGGGCCAGCATTAGTCATGGGCAGGGTCATGCCCAGTACATGCAGAGAACCCCAGACCCCTCCATGGGGGTCAGTATCACAGAGAATTGGGTGACTGCCAAACCACTGTCAGCCCCTAACAATTTCAACGTAAGATATAAACCCACAGGAATGCTTTTAAAAATTAAATGCTAAAAAAACAGTTGAAGAATATTTTGTTGTAAAACTGTTTTCAATTTGCCAGATGGCATGTGCACATCACAGAGAGAAATAGAGATAAAATGAGAGAGAAGGATAGTGATGCCATAACTATTGCCCCCCATTTCTCCATCGAGTCAGGATTTGGGGCATGTATAAACATGTGTTATGTATTTTTCTAGCCTCCATGGCAGGATTTAAAGTGCACAGTCAACAATGAAAGATACAGCTCCCTTAACCACTAAGCCGTGGGCTGACTTAGAGCTGTTTAAATAAGGTTTGAAAACCAAAGAAACTATTAATAAAAAATAACTGTATATTTTTTGGCAATAAATATGAACATCAGTTTTTTAAATACATATTCCAATAAGCCATTGATTCAAACACATATGCCAACAATTCCACAATTACACTGCAAAAATACATATACTTATTATAAAATTATTTGTCATAAAAAAATTGAAAGTAGCACAAAGAACACAGAATATATTTTTTTTAGTAATACCTTTCTAGGAGAGAATAAGGCAGTATGAAGAAAATAGAATCAGATATATTTAGACTGAAAAGAACTTGGAGATGTTGTGTAGCAAAATTAAAACTTCTGTGCACATGGAAAGAATACATACATACGTGTGTGTGTATACACACTTGGATTTGTGAAGATTTCTACATGAAGACTCTTAAAAAACATAATAAACATATTATATATGCCAGATCTGGGACTCAAACAATGGACTGTGTAGGAGGCCAGTGCCTTAACAATCATGACACCTGTTGGCCACTTAAAACAGTTTATATATATAGTTGATTCTAGAGAAGAGCCCTGAAAAAATATGCTTAGAGATGAATAGAGTCTTATTTTTAATTTTATATCATTTTGCATTGTTTTCATTTTGTGGATTATTGTTCTCTATTTTGCCATCAACTTTTGTTTTTAAAAAGTGGAAGAAACACATTAAAAATATTTTTAGAGAATTAAAATTAAATTGAATAAAAAAGTCTATACAGAATTAAGTATTTAACATAGTATAATTAAAAGAATGAACTCAAGTGATAGCAATCAAGCTAAAAACAAAACTGAGTTTCATTAAAAGTCAAAATATAAATGCATAGATTAACTAAAAATTGGTACAATTATAAAACTCATTTGCTGAATGATAACATCAGTTACTACTATATATGCATTATACTCTTGTACGTGATATTAAAAAAGAGATTATAGGGAACCAGCAGTTAGCGTAATGGCTATGTCGCTGGACTCCCACATAGTCGACTGCAGTTCGCGTCCCGGACCCAGTGGCTTAACAACCCATGCCGGGCACGTATGTGTGCGTGCCCAAGATCCCGAGAGGAGAATGGAGGAGAAGGGATTGTGGCATGACCATCCCCCCTGGAGGGGTGATTTCTCGCTTTCTGTCTCTATGCCTCTCTCTGTCTGTCTAGGGAGCGCACGTGCCCTATAGCAAAAACCTCTCCAAAAAAAAAAAAAAAAAGAGAGATTATAAAGCTTATACTCTAACAAAAGAAAGAAATTTTTATTACAGGAAGACTATATAGATCAACTTTTATTCCCACTATTATTTTTTATTTATGAATAAAAATTAGGGAAAATTATGAACAATAATAAAATAACTAAAACTACATTAGATAACACTATGTATGTTTAAAGTTTAGAATAATACATAGTGACATAGAAAAATTTTTAAAAAAATAAAGATGGCATTGCATCTCAGAAAACTTTTAAACCCCCAAAAGAAAAACTCTAATATCAAATGCATTCTTCATGATGAGAGATTCACTAATTTACTTACTGATCAAACTTTTTTTGTCCACAGCTTCTTCATGGCGTTTTTCATCTCTGAGTTTCTTAGTGTGTAAATTAAGGGGTTCAGCATTGGTGTTACGACTGTATAAAATACACTCAATGATTTGTCAATGGGGAAGGTCTTAGCAGGTCGTGCATACATAAAAATACAGGGAACAAAGAAGAAGACAACCACAGTGATGTGGGAACCACAGGTAGAGAGGGCTTTCCACCTTCCTTCCTGACTCAGGTTTTTTAAAGAGTACAAGATAATACCATAAGAGATAAGTAAGACCAGAAATACAGTTGCACAAATTAGTCCTCCATTGGCCGCTACTAGGAGGCCAATAACATAGGTGTCAGTACAGACAAGTTCTAATAAGGGATACATATCACAGAAAAAGTGATCAATGACATTGGGGCCACAGAATGGAAGCCCATAAATAGTACTAAGCTGAATGACAGAGTGCAAAAATCCTCCAACCAAGGACACCACCAGCAACAAAACACACACCAATTGTCTCATGATAACCAAATAATGCAAGGGCTTACAGATGGCCACATAGCGGTCATAGGCCATTACCACCAGAAGAAAGACTTCTGACCCACCAAAAAAGTGTTCAGTAAAGAGCTGAGTCATACAGAATTTGAAGGATATGGTATCATATCCAAAGAACAAGTCTGAAATCAATTTTGGGGAAATGGATGAGGAATAAATGACATCCATAAATGATAAACTAGCAAGAAAGAAGTACATGGGTGAGCCCAGGGTCTTACTGACAGTAACAGTCACAACAATGAGCAGGTTGCCCACCATGGTCAAAGTGTAGAAAAGCAAGAACATCACAAAAAGTACTTTCTGTGTTTCTGGGTTCTGTGTAAGGCCCAAGAGGACAAAGAAAGTTACATTGTTTCTTGGTTCCATCTAATCTTTATAGGCTCTGATGTCAGATCTTGAAAGCACTTTACCTATAAAACAAGGAAGAAATCTTTATAGTGTTTTAAAATTTATTTTTTTAAAGTAGTATAGTCTTACAGTCTTATTTATTCAGTCAAATAAAAAAGGTGTATGGATTATTTGTGTAATTACATGATGGACTTTGGAATTGCCAGATTGAAAAAGACCCTCAGTGATACATAATGTGATGTGGATCCCAAAATGACAGACCAATTGAAAAATTAATTATGATACATTCATATTAATTAAAGGGTTCACAGTGTTAAAGCATGCAAATCACACACATAATACAAGGTTTTTAAAGAAAGCAGTTTTTTAGCTGTAATGTAAAGGGAAATAAGAATTAATTGTTGGAGAAATTAGGAACGTAATTCTATGAAAAGTTATAGTATGTAAAAAGGAATAAAAGTGTATTTGAAATGTCAGTTAAGATAATTTAATAATCAAAGTAGTTACAACTAACAATAAATGAATCTTCTGATATTATATAAGTATCCAGCCCGAAGCATTTCCAGTGGATTTCTAACCTATGGTCACTAAAATCTGATCTTTCTAAATCAGGAAACAAGACCGTTAGGTGACATAGATGCAGGCTTCCTCTCCATAGATGCAGGCTTCCTCTCCAAATTCTTTTCTTACAATTTTCCAAATTTATCCTGCTCTACATTGTTTGATATTCTTCATATATACAATGTGTTTTTCCATCTCCTTTACTAAATCTACTTTTCTACATGCTTATTACAGAGATTAAAAGCAGTTGACCTTGAAAATAACAGTAAATATTGTGGAAACATACATTGTAATATTAATATTTATTCATTCAATAAAAGTATTATATGATGCACTATGTTATGTATTTTAAATAAAGTTGACTCAGAGCCACGTAAAAGTGTCCACTAATTCATTAAAATTCAGAGTCTATGCCACAAGTCTTGTCACTGAAGGAGAAATTCTGGTGATGACCAAGGAATTGCATTTTCACCATTAGTTATCTAGTTTTCCAAATAGAAATAATACTTCCTGAGGTAGCTACAGACTTCACTTTCAAATTTATTTAATCTGTTCATGACACATATAAATACTGACCATCAGCTTTCTACAGTATTATCATATTTTTCACAGATATTGAACTTTCCTTGAGGAACTCTTCATTGAACTAATTGAATATTAAATTTGTAAATAAATGTCTCTCTTTTAAACTTAGAGTCTTAGCTTAGAATCAATGAAAACTAAAACTCAGGGCCAGGTCATATTGCAGCAGTAACACAAAGTTCGATTAGATCAACACATATGGGAAAGTACAAGGTTCAGAACTCGAGACCTCCCTGTCAAGCACCCATGTGCGTCCATGATTCAGGATGGCTGAGTTAGGTAGGGGTGACACCACGAAAACCCTATTGGGGATTTCTCACTCTGTGTGTATATATACATATATATATATATATGTATATATGTGTGTATATATATATATATATATATAAAATCTATCTACCTACCTATATATATCTTTCTCATGGAACAGATAAATCAATAATTAATAAATTTATTAAAGTTTTAGTTATTGAATTTTTATAGAAACCTTATGTTATATATGCATGTAGAAACAATTTTATTTTTCTCAAAATATCTACACCACTCCTGTTTTAGGAAATAATTTAGGTAGATAGATGATAGGCAGAAAATCAATAGGTAAATTAGAAAAATCTTATTATGAAACATATTCTAAATGAGTAAATTGTGCTTTTCTAAAACCTGCTGTAAGATCTTAGTGAAATGCTAATAATTACTAAGTCATAACTGGAAGTTTTTTTAATTAAAATTTCATAGTTATTGAATGTGTAATCATATTTTTGAGAGCATCTAATTAGTTAAACACATAAATCATATATATTTTGTTTGGAACAAAATGGAAAAAGAATCTGGAGCTTTAATTTTTGCATCCCAGGATAGATCATCAGTTTATATATTTCTGAAATACAGAAAAGCAAAGAGAGAAAAGACTATTTTCATCTTATCAGTTCCATTGTAATAGACCAAAGAGATTTTAATGGAAGAAAATACTGCTATTGCAAGAATACCTATCATTTGTCATGCAAAACTGTGTCTGATAATAGACCAATAGAAGGTATTTTATGTACATATGTGCATATTTACACATGTACGTATATGTAAAGACCTTTAATGTACAACTTTTAATCATTAGAGTAATAAGTACTGTTATTGCCATTTCTATGGAAGAAAGAAGCTCAGAATATTTAATTAATTATCCCATAATTATATAGTTTTTCTTCAGGGATCAAAATACATGAAGAAACTACCTTTGATTGACTTCAAAACCTCATGATGTCAGAAAAGTTTTTTCAACTTCTCAATTCTTAGATATTAGATAATATAATTTCCTATGCAGTAAAAAAAACACATTTATTGAAAAATCTGGTTTCCACTAATAACTGTTCCTATCTTACCTATTGGAGTCTTGTTCACACTGTAAAGGAAAACTTAACTTACTCCCAAGCACCTGGAAATGTCTCTTTAATCTGGCATGACCACAGATGACAAAAAGTTGCATTATTCCTTGAGAACATAGTCAATTTCACATGACTATGTATACATTTTCTTCAGAGTCCCCTAATATTTGAGAAAATTGTTATTAGAAATAGATCTATGTAAAAGGAATTTAATGATGGAAAAAAAGAAATACAGAAATTTCCATGTTAGTGCAATTCATCAAAAAAGAAAACAAATGCTATGTCTACATAAGAAAATCGTGATAAGCTGGATCACCAGGAAAAGAAAATTTTTCTCTAGTTACTAATTTACTTTCTAGTAACATGAAAACAAAAACAAATTACCATTCAAACTTTGTGCCCTTCTTATTGTATTGGGTTAGCATGGCCAACTTAGTTCTACTCATATTTTAAGAAGACATTGTTGAAATAGTTATTTCTCTTTTTATAAGAGCTGTCTGAGTTATTAAGGGAATAGTATTTGCCCTAATAGGAGCAAAGATCACTGGACATTTTGCACTTCCTAACAACATATAACTCTGAGTCCTATAATTAGAGTCCAAGACTCATTCTTATTTAATTAAGTACACTGGGATTTTCACAAAATTTTACAAGAATGACTATATGTAAATATACTGTTAGATCAATCATATCACTAGGGTCAGGGAGATGTAATCAGGGAGATGTAACCATGTAACCAGATGCATTTCCC